GAGAGAGAGAGAAGGAGAGTAATTCGCGGTAAGAACGCCGCGACCGGTTGAAGGCGCGCGAGAATATGCGCGAGAGACGGTTCTGAGTTCTGAGAGCGAGCCATGGAGGACGCAGCAGCACCAGCAGCACCAGCAGCATCAGCAACGACAGCGCAGGATACCTGCTTCGGGGCGGGCAGCATAGCCGGAGCCGTGATCGGGACCTTTCTGACGACGATCCTTCTGCTCGCCGTCGCCGCGTTTCTCTACAGGCAGTGGCGCCGGCGTAAGAGTGAGTCTCGTTTTTCAACCTGTTGATCCGATTTACTTATATCCGTTTCTACAAATGTAGATTGACTTTCATCTTGGTTTAATCAATTGTGTATCTTTTTTTAATTCTAAGAATTAGAAAGAGGTAATGAGGTAAATTAAACCGAGAGTTAAAGTCAACCTACATTGGTAGAAATAGATATCAGTGGAGATACTTTTGAACATTGTTTTTATAGTTTTTGAAGGCTAAAGGAGAGACTGTCATGCATTTTTATAAATTATTTTATAATAATTATTTTATTGAGCGACGAATTTATTTCATTTATTGTTTTGTTTTTGTTCGTAGTAGCATGCAAGCAAAGTGTTACATCTAGACTAGGATCCTAAGTTTTACTCTTCTCTATTAGTCTACTAGACAGAATGAATATATATAACTATCCATGAACTGCTAAAAAAATGTATGAGATTTCTATCAAAATAAATTATAAAATAATTTATATATATGGAGAAAGTTTTGCTAAAGTAAAAATTTAGTTAGATACAAAATTTAGTTAGATACAAATTTAAAAATAATTTTATTTGAATTATCAAAATAATTATGTAGAACGCTTTAACGTTGATAATGCTTCAAAAAGTTTCCACATTGTAGCAACTAGTTTTGAGCGTGCTACATAATTATTTTAATGATTCAAACAAAATTATTTTCAGATCTGTATCTAGTTAACTTTTTACGTACTTCAGCAAAACTGTTCTTTCTGTTTAGCAAGTAAAATACAACATACAATAAAATATAAAATAAGTATAAAATAAGTAACATAAAATAATTATATATTTAGTTATATATACAATTATTTTATATATTTATATATTATTTTATGTATATAATATATACATATATAATTGTTATACATATATAATTGTTGTAAATAACTCATTCAAATTTAGATTGCCAATTAATTTCCTTAAGCGTTAATTTCTGTAAGATTAAATTCTTGGACTCAATAATAATTTCGAAAAAAGGAAAAAAGTAAAGAATTCTTTGAATACATCCGTTTAAATATTGAGGACTATCAATGTTTTTTGCATTTTTTTTAGGAATGTCTGGGAAAACCCATCTTGTTTTTATTCAAAGATAACACTTAAAAATATTGTTCTCGGAAAAAATGAAATCTTGTTCTTTCGATTAGAAAAGATAGATTGCATCGTAGTTGATCGCAACACAATAAATCATCATTCAGAGAAATAGAAACGAGAGGGGACGCACTTCACACTTCGACGAGTATCCCAGTTCGAGCATTAATTGACGCTATTTTTAAAAGTGTCTCCATTGATTCTCTGTATACGTGTTCCTTTTTTCGTCGTCCAACGAATTCTCTTATTACCTTTCGAGATAACTTATGATTTATTTGATTCAATGGAACGCTCAAACGATTGAATAAACGTTTTGATGCTAGTTGGAATATTCGATTTGCGCGTCACGTTCGATTAACGCTTAAAGTTGCGCGATGAAAAATTTGGGATTCTGAGAAAGGAATTGAAAGTGACTTTACATGTCTTGACACTTTCCATATGATTACTGGTGTAACGAGTCGCGCGGTGCAAGTTTCCGCGCAAATTTTATCAAACGGTCTGAGCGACCGTTTCACGACCGGTCGCTTTAATTTAATTTTCTAAACAGAAACTAAGATCTTTGGTATGGCAGATTGTCGCAATAGAAAATACTTATTTTACTATATAAAAAGGTCTCTTAATAAAAAATTTTCTTAACAAATTAGGGATTATACCAGAATTGCTTGCAGTAATTCTAGAGCAACATTCTAGCATTTTATGTATATCAGTAAAATTCTGTATAATTTTATACAGAAAAGACAATTTTGCTGCAAGATCTAAAATTTTTTATTCGGATCTGAAAATAATGTTGTTGGAAATAAAGTTAAAATAATACTTTTTAGTTCTCACCATTAAAATAATGTTGGAAACTAAAAAACGATGATCGATGCTGCAAAAAATTTAAATATTCTAACAAACAGTTTGAGTTTCCAACGAAATTATTTTAACAATTCGACAAAATTATTTTCAGTATCTAGTAAAATTTTACATTTATTCTTTTTGTGATAATATATTGTAAAGTATATTATGTCCTATTGTAATTTGAGTAGTATAGTA